TATTAAATATATTTATTTATAATATAAATTATATAAATATAGACATGTAAATACATGTAAATGTTTTCAAAATATATACTGTATGTGTGTGTATTTATATATACATAATAAATATACACAGATCACACACATATATTATGCAAACAAAAACTTTTATTTTGTATGCGATTAATCGCGATTAATCGTTTGACACCACTAATATTATGATCATATAAATAGTTTTCCTCAATCTATTGAAAATAAAAGCACTATTTTTAGGATGAATCTTCAACCTTGTTGCTCATTCTGATATTTTAATTTATTGTATTTATTACATCATATTTATTGCTCAAATATCTAAATTACAGTGTCTCTGTTCAGATGTGTCCTAAAATAAATACAATTAAATAGTAATACATAAAATTAATAGAAAATAAATCTTTAAAACATTAGTAACCTTTTCTGTTATGAGAGCTATTAGATATTATCAAATAAATTCTCACATTTGTTGGAAATAAACATAGTAATTAAGGATGAAACTCCAACCTTGTTTGTCATTCTGACATGTTTTTATTAATTGTATTCATTATTTAATATTTATTTATTTCTCAAATATCAAAATCTCACGGTCTCTGTTCTGACGTTTTAATTTTTGGCTGAAAACGGCAAACTTCATATAACATTTCAAAGAAAATCATCTTCAAAGCATTGGAGGCATGTTATTGTGTTATGAGAACTATTAGATATGATCATATAAATAGTTTTCTTCAATCTATTGAAATTAATAAATTTTCAACCTTGTTGCTCATTCTGACATTTATTTTCATTTATTGTATTTATTTATTATCTCATATTTATTGCTCAAATATCAAAATCACATTGTATTTGTTCAGACATCCTAAATTTTGGTTGTAAAAATTGCAGAGCTTATATAAATTGGATTCACCTTTAATACAAATTGTTGACTTCAAGTTATTGGAATTAAGGCATAATAGTTTAGAATAAAAATCAAATTAATCTCCAACCTTGTTACTCATTCGGACATGTTTTTATTAATTGTATATATTATTTGTTTATTATTTTATATTTATATATTGGATTTCCCCTAAAACAAGCAGTTTTCTACAGTCTTTTGGAAATATAAGCACTTATTTAGGGTGAATCTTCAACCTTTTTACTTATGCTTATTTATTTGTTTTATTTTATTTTCATTTCTTTCATTTTATGTAATTATTTATTGCTCAAATATCAAAATCTCAAGGTGTTTTGACGTATAGACAAAATTCTGGTTGCAGATATTACAAACCTCAGATTAGGGCTGTCGCGGTGAAGGAATTTCCCTTGCGGTAATTTTGAGTGGCTCAATAGCGCGGTATGCGGTATCATCGCCATATATATATATAAAATCTGTGTGTGTATGTGTTCCGATATAACGAGGTCATATTCAGAAACCAATGAAACCGAAACCAAATAGCGTTGAAACAGGAAGTGAAGTAAACAGAAGAGAATGACAAAATAACGGTCCTCTGGACAAACTATTAGAAACTGCTGTGTTTGATTTTCTGTGGAACGTAAAGAGAAAATCTAATTATGAAGAGTCTTCAAGCAGTTATTTTATTCTCTATTTTTTTTGTGACCTCGGCTGTCAAGTTTAAAAAAAATAATAATAATTGAGTCTTGTGAAGCGCATAAGAGTCTTGAATTTAGTTTTGTTCACCAAAAATCTTCCTTTCTGCTGCAGTGCAAGATTATTAGTTCGATGACTTGAAATACTGCATATCAAATGCTGTTCAACTATGTGCTTTTCTTAGTAGACGTGATCACTGTTCTATTTAAAAATTCTTCTAAACGTCTGCCCACATACAGCGCTGGATTGACATGAACATCCGTAAATAATGATGGCGTTTTCGTTTTTTGAGTGAACCATTCCTTTAAGAGGGATTTGTGAACGCTTATTGATTTTCATGTCTGAATTTTCTACAGCAGCCACAGCAAGTTCTGTTCTTTGCTTCAGGTTCATTCCTTGGGCACTTCACAGTGGGTACAAGTACATCTAACAGCGTGTTTTCACTGAGGTTCTCACAGCGTCTCAAGTCGTTCTATGAATAAAATTTCACGGACGGCCGCTTTGACTAGTTTGTGCTTCTCTACAGTAAAATGTGTAACCCTACTGTCTCACGTTAAACATACTAGGACACTTACTTTCTTTTTTGTAGCTCTCTTTTCCTTTTCTGACCTTTTTATTAAATTCATCTACATTTTTACAAAACTTGCATGGTTATTTTTAATAATCCTCGAAGTAGAATTTAATATTTACTGGCTGCTGAGGTGTTCTGAATCATTGCCATGTGTTTTTTTTTTTTTTTCAGGCTCCAGTTTTTTTCAATGTCTTCTTTTTCCTGACCTTTTTATTAACTCTATATTTTTGCATGGTTGCATGGTTAATTTCAGTATTCCTCAAAGTAAAATTTCAAATTATTACAAATTTACTGGCTGCCAAAGTTGCAATACAATTGCTAGGGAGTTCTGAACGGTTGACAGTTTTTTCTTGTTTGTTTTTGTTTTTTTACAGGCCCCCATTTTTTTTTTTTTCTTTTGCTCCCTTCTCCTATATTTTTTTCAAAGCTTGCATGGTTGTATGGTTACTATCAATAATCCTCAAAGTAGAGATATCTATAAAGATATCTTCACTCGGCTCGGCTACCACACACACACACACACACACACACACAAAACACATATTAACACCACAATATAAACATGGTTATGTCTGTGCACAAAGAAGAAAAAATATGTATGTACAGAAAATGTACATGTGACAAAAAATAAAAAAGACAAATATGGAAAAACAATGCATTTTCAAAATCGACTAGACAGTGGCTTCCTTGAATGACTAGATGGCTAATAAGTCTGAAAAGGACAGTTTGCCCAAAAATGAACATTGTGTGATTTTACTTTCTTTGGTGGAAAAATATTTTAAGAAAATTCTCTACTTTTTTGCCTAAACAATGGAAGTCAATGGTAACCGAGATGGTATGGTTTCCAACAGTTTTTTTTTTTTTTTTTTTTTTCAACAGAAGAAAGTCAAACAGGTTTGGAACAACATGAGGGAAAATGATGACAGAAAATTCATTTTTGGGTGAACTATCCCTTTAAAACTTAGTAAAAGCCCCAAGTAGGGGGTAATAGTGGTAATAGTGAGCTTTGAATTGCGTTAAAACCCATAGATTCTCACCTTAACATAGAGCTGCTGGAACTCATCCAGGTTTAGTCGACCGCTGGGACAGTCTTTCAGGAAGCCCTTGTACCATTGCTTGAGCTCATGTTCATTAAACTCCGTGTTCTTCACAAGGTCCTCCATTACCTCAGGGGTCAGTTTGCTGTTCTGTTTTCCCATGATTACTACATGAGAAAGAAAAACAGAAATAATATGATATTATGGATAAATAAATAAATAATATGGTTATAGAATGTTCTCCCAGGTATCTAATAAGAGATGCGGGTGTAGATTTAAACTGTTAATGGATACGGCATCTCTACAGTTATTTTCTGACAGCTGCTCCTCACCTGAAATGAGAATCTGAGTTGAATTTTAATCCATTTATAGACACTGATATCAATATAGAGCAACAACATAAACTGTCACAAAGGAATCTTTTTTTTTTCACACGTTTTAAAAGCTAGTGCTGATAATCTGTATGAGCTTTAGCCATTAAAAACAGTGTATTGGTAGGAGGTTGGCAGATATATACATAATACAATTCAACAATAGCAAATAATATGTACACTGTAAAACATATATATATATATATATTTTTTTTTTTTTCTTTTTCCAAAAGTTGTAAATAA